AAGGCTGATTTACACGGTACGATTTGTCGCGCGCGACTTGTAGTATACGATTTTCCTACTACAAGTCGTAGGATTTTAAGCAGTGGTTCAAAATCCTACTACAAGTCGTAGGTTGCGTACGACTGTTGTAGACAAGTCGTAGGGGCATTTACACTGCGCGATTCAAGTCGTATACTACAAATCGCACGAGACAATCGTGCCGTGTAAATCAGCCTTAAGGATGACTTCGCATGTTGCACGCGACAGTTGTAGGCAAATTATGACCGTTACAAAGGAAGCTCAAAGGAGGAAAAAAGAGTTGCCTGTGGAGGAGGCTGAAACCGGCCTTTTGACTGCTTTTTGTGATTACTCCGCACGGAGTATCCAATTAGCTATSGCGCGATGTAAATATGATCGATGGATGGTCGCAACAATAGTAACCAGTATAGCCAGGCGTTCCTAACCGATGTAGGCTGATGTCATGCAAAACAGAGTTACGTAATTTTCCGATTCGTTTACGACAGTAGGACCGAACTTCCGACGGCCGTTTATAATTTTCAAATTACTATTCAAATGTCGGTCATTTTCTTAGCAGTTGCTTTCAACCCTACTTCAAAGAACTCTCAAAAACGTTCAACCATATCAATGAAAAGAACTTTCCTTTTGAATACATTTCAATGACAAACAATATTGGGAGTAACCACATGCGCTCGTTGAGCGCCTTTTTATTGGGTGGCCCGCCAGCCCTCATTTGTAAGGTCCTAGCCTGCTAACAGGCGTTCCTGCTGGATGGCCGAGTTCCTCCCCATTCCTTCTCGGTCCCCCCAGCAGGAACGCCTGTTAGCAGGGTAGTATAAAGGTCCTGGATCTGCCACTGCGCGGATCCTGTATTCATGCAGTTTTGCTTTGGTACGACAGACATCGGCAAACATCAGTCGGTGAGATGTCAACTTTCTCTATGACGTCCTTGCTTTCCATTTCTCTTCAGCTCTTCTTTCACTTTGTCGGTCAGCGGTATTAAATCAATGGAGGAGCCGGGACCAAAAGTAACTTTTACTTATCAGAACAGCTTCAACTTCTTTGAATGTTGAAAAACTTTGATTATAGCTGTTATAGTTATTGAAATTTGAGTTTTCTTAAAAGCCAGCACCAGAATGTTTTAAACCAACCTATACATCTAGARCATTCGAAAATACGTAAGCCGGATATTGACCGGACAATATTCTATCCAAGACAAGTGATGTTCTTCTAGATCGACCAAAATGACAAGAAGGTATAGATATACCCCCCTCCCCTCGGGAATCGAGGACGTGGAATAAACCCAAATGACCACAGAAAGACGAATTCAAGAATACGCCAATCAAAGTGATCAGAGGATATTTTTTATATAGTTCACGTCATTAAAGAAATCTTGCATTTGCATCGTGACGTATGTGGTTCATTCATCATCGTGTTTTGTCCAGTATGTTGTTCAGATATTTGCGTGACAAGGCTGTGACGAGTAAGCCGCCATGACCTATGGTGTATTTACCTTGGCCGTCGGTCGACATGACAGGGCATGTAAACACTAGCACGTTATTCTTTCTCTTTGAAAGGAAGTTTTTGTAGCGAATTAGACTGAAGAGGAAGCGGTAAATCCACTTTACTGTCAACTCAATCGCAATCAACTTACGAAAATGCCGTTGACTGATTTTTTCCTAATAGAACAAGCACTGTGATTGGTTCAAATCTTTGTAGAGCACTTGCACCAAATTCCCCAAAGTTCGATATCCAATACATGAGGGGCTGTGATTGGTGGTTTGAATACCAGCGGAAGTCATGCGGTGCAGACATCGAGTTCTTAACAAACGAACAGTTTAATGTTTGCTTGGACCATGTCTACTGTACTGTCTTCGTCTATCTTCTCCAACACTCCAAGGAGTGCTTATCAAAGTTACTATCTATTCAATAATGACACAGACAGGGTAAGTGATAATAGACAATTTTGTACTCTTGACAAATTTTCTGTTGCTTGATCCACTCATCGACTTATCGGACGCTGCTTCACCAAACTTTTCTAATTCTCGATGTTATGATGTGAAGCAAAACTTTGTTTGTTATGCACGAACAGCACTTACAGATAAGCAAGACATGCCAYGGTTGATTATTCAACAAGAACATTTTCAAACACATTTGTTGCTGTATACTGGCAAGGACAAGTATTTGATTTTATCAATATACCATTGACCTCGCATCAGTAACGGTTTTCGGTAAAGCACAGAAGTGTGTAAATAGTTATATAAGATATGGAGTGAGATTCTATTTTCGTGCAACATTCTAATCAACCCAGACGACTGCGTGCTAAGCCGACGATTGATGAATCATGTACAATGTACAATAAAAAGGTCGGTTTGTTATTAACTGTCGACATTTGTAAATTAAATCTGCATATYACGTCAAGATGGCCTAGGAACATACTGAAAAATAAACTTGAAAAGATAGTTAGTAACATGACGGAGGTACCATGCAGCGATCGAAAGTATACTTGATAGTTGTTGCTGTTCTAAGACTGCAGTTGAAGCATTGAAAAGGCCAAGGTGAGGGCGCCCATGTTGCTTTCCCGGAAACCATTTTTGACGCTTGTCCAAGATATGCCAAATATCTCTGTTTTCTTCTCTCAATCCCAGAATGCTTTTGAATCATTTTTTCATTTAATTTGCTACATGTAAATCGTGACGTTAACATCTCCATAAATGACGGAGATTTCGGACTGATCGTCTCAATCATCGTCCTAAGACAACGCCGTTCCCTGCTGTTTTGATATGTAAAACACAAAAATATTATATAAAAATAAGGGACATTATTTGCAGGGGTTTGAATAAACATGGCACCATATGGTTGTATCTCACAAGAAGGTTTAGCTCATGGAGATGTCTCTTAGAATGAATCCAAATAAATCTCCAATGCCGGACACTTCTCATTAACCCCTGTTGCCTGAGAATTAATACCCGGTAATGTCATAACCTAGTRCATGACTTACTCCGAGAATGACTCTACCGTATGGAGCATCGCTGCAGGCTAACGTCTAAACAGCTGATTGACTAATTATAGCCATACGGGTTCGCTCACGCAAAAGYATACGGGTCAAGTTCAACGTATCTAACGTGTTATTCGTATATAGATTATCCATTCTGAAATACTTGAATCATCTTTGAATTTATTCATTGGTACAGGGTAGAATATCTCTTTTTTAGGACCGTTCACTCTTTTCGTGTTAAACAGAACAGATAACTAAATGAAACCCGTATACCCCGCGCGACCAGTTTTTGAAAAGGTGTTTTGAGTAATGTTAAAACAAAACTTATAGCATTCACAAAATATTWTATTATGAAGTATTGGCAAATGAAACAAGAAAGATAGAGGCTTATTTCATTTTCAGGAAGCGCAGATAGTCGGCAACACAGTCTGCAATTGCGCGGCGGCCTAGGGATAAAGTTACAAGTTACAATTCAACACTCAACAAGAAAAAGAAAAAAAATATGTCAATGAAATAGATCAACGCAGCAATTGAGCAAGTATATTATAAAAAAAAAAATCGAAGATTGCATGAATTGCTTTTGTTTTAGAAGTTYGCTTTGAAATATAAATTAGTGAGAAATTCATATTCGTCAATATGTACTATTTCTAGTTTTTCAGCTTTTGTGGAACGTTTCTATCCTCTGATCACTCTATATTGGACATAGATAGTTCTAAAGGTCGTAAAGTAAAACGATAGTGGTGCACTGATTGCCTAGTAAATCCTTTTCAAGGTGTTTCGTCGGGTTCTGTGGTAGTTATATCTTAATCAAGGACGCAATAAAGACCGGCGTTWGAATAAAGCTCGTAATTTGTTTTATTATGTGACACGTATTTGTCCCCGCTTGCGTTGGCGATTTTTGCGGCGATTTTCGAGTGATTTTCAAAGATATAATAGATTTTTTTAGGCATTTATGTAGCTCATCTCAGTGTACTGAATCAGACTTTACAAGCTATTATTTTCTAAGATCAAAATGACTACAAAAATCGGCACAAAAATAAAATTTCAAATTRTCTTTAGAAAACCTTCAACAAACGATTGAGCGAGCGGCGCCGGATACGGATTCAAGCCGGTCTGGAGAAAACGTATCCGCCCCGCTCGCGCACTCCACCTAAAAAATGCGAAAGAAAATGTCGTCAGTTGGTGGCTCGTTTTTTCGTTTTTTTCGCTAGTTTTCGCGATGTTCTTGGTCCGGAAATTTCTTGTTACGAGCACGAGCGTTACGAGACTTTCCCGAACCGGTGTCAAATATAAATAACAATAGAAAAYAACTTTTTATCACATTTCGTTTGTTGTATCACTAAAACAAAACAAAAAATACGCTGTGATTGAAGAGGAATACGATGAAGATGAATTTTATTATCCAGATGAACAAGAACAAGAAAAAGATTTCAATGCCATACTTTCCAGACCCCGGTCTGAGATTTCCCTGTAATTACCTCGCTCTCGGTTAACGATTAGTATAAAATAAAACCTGATTAGCGAGTCTTAGGGTTTGAATGAAGTAGAATGGTCTCCACCTGGATTTTGTGGTCATGTTTTAGGATTGAAATCAACGATGATGCTTCTCATCGCTGTCATACGAACAGGATTACAAAGGCGCTTAGAATCGATTAACAAACCTACGATTTAGACAACGCATCGTGAGAATTTGTCCCTGTTTGGGGGGAAATTTACCACGCCCATCACCACAGGGCCCGTGTCCGCCCTGCTACGGATTATTGTAATGTTTTAATTGTAATGTTTTTGGCGTGTAAACCCGCTTGAAAGCTAAATCATATATTGCGGTCATCGCGGAATTATTGATATAGTCCATTGGTTGTTTTCAGGAAACTATGCGTAGTTCGTCATCTTCAGATCCATTCGATTCACTGACAAGTGAGTTGTATGAACATCTCAGCTCACTAGACAACTCACCGTGTAGTGAGACGTTCAACGAAAACCTACCATGGTCGATAGATGACGAGATCTCTAGCTTGGCAGCGTCGCTACAAGATTCCTTACTTCTACAACAGAGATCGATTAGAAAAACTCCCAAGAGACCACCTGATGGGTATTTATGTCACTTGTGTTTTTGCAAAGGGCATTATATCAAGGACTGTCCCCAGGTAAGGACCTACATGCTTGCACAGTATGGCGGTCATGATTGTGAAAGATTCATACTTTTTATCACCAATCGAATTTCAAAAGTCGATAATTTAGTGAGAATCTATCAATCAGTGAATCGACTATTAATCGAACGCTTAGTTACCAGTCAATCAATCAATCAATCAAGCAATCAATCAATCAATCAATCAATCAATCAATCAATCAATCAATCAATCAATCAATCAATCAATCAATCAATCAATCAATCAATCAATCAATCAATCAATCAAATAATTAATCGAAGCAATTGAAAACAAGCAATCAATGAATTAATAAATCAAACCAATCAATTAATTGAACCAACAAATTTATCGATCATAATCAGTCAGTCAATCAGAAAACGAGAAAACKTCAGAGATCAGCTCGTTGAAATCTTACCATGAATTTAAGCTAAGCAGCGCAACAAATGCCATTATCATATATTGTATTAACTTACATTAAATTTTCATAATCAGATAGATTTGATAGAGTCTTCTCAAAAAATGCTTACAATGTATAATTATCAATTGTAATCAGGCTTGACCTTGACCTTGTTCTGATTACACTTGCCTTGACCTTATTGATTATTTTAGATATCACAAAAATMCCATCCAATAATTGTTTATTATCGTTCCCATATGGTGGCAAAAATTCCCCAGTGTGCAATCGAGCACTAAAGCTTTATATTTTGAAAACAACCGATCGAAAAAAATGTTGCRCAGGACAGGAAGTGACGTTACTGAAATCAGTGAGCAAAACGAATACCAGTTTATGAATTTTATAGAAATTGAGCTCAAACATCGCAAAGATTTRATACTTTAATATGAACTGAAACACCCTTACTTTTACATCCATCCCCCGCCCCATCTCCCTCGACCCTCCGGGACCCCCGATTCAGGACGCAAGCGGTAATGCTCGAACAAAGCTTCAATTAACTAGGGGTAGAGATACATGAATGGATGGTTTTTTTTTAAAAAAAACGTTTTACTTGTATTATGACTAAAGTCACGGCAGCCGGCTCATTTCACGTAGTTGTTGTTATTGGTGCATTGCATTCYAGCACGCGCCTAGSCGACCCCTCCTTAACACAAACACTTGATATGTCTATTAGTCTATATATAAACCGCGCTCTTATTGGCTGATGAACCTAAACCTCGAGGGCAAATAGCTAGAAATTTATAGAMTCTAAGGAAATGTCATAATGTCGAACTCGACCGTTCGTGTCAACGCCCTTAGTATTGATCGTTAATTCCCCATGTTAATTGTCTGTTCAGGGAAGGCGCATGACGGAGAAGGGAGTGCTGGGTGTCTGTATAACCAACACCTCCATTAAGGTTGAATATGATTGAAAATTAGAGTAACCACAGGGAATGAAAGGATGGAAATAAGAAACACTACAACCTGCTCCGAAGTCTCTGCTAGCTGTTTTTAGAAAGTAACGATAATTCTATCAATGTTGACCATGTATAACACGTTGGTCTAAGACACGTTGGTCTAAGTTGTAGTGAATGAAGTGTATGGAGTGAATTGTTGTGACTTTGGAATAATCTACAGTGAGTTGCTTTCATGTTTCAGGCACGACCGAAAGGTGAAGGACTGACCCCTTATCAGGGTAAAAAACGCTGTTTTGGTGAGTTTAAATGTCCCCTGTGCAAACGAAAATGGATGAGTGGTAATAGCTGGGCCAACATGGGGCAACAATGTGTGAAGTGCTTTATCAATGTTTATCCACACAAACAGCGACCTCTAGATAAACCTGATGGCTTAGACGTGTCAGATCAGACTAAAGAACACCCACAAGAGTTGTGCGAGAAGTGTCAGTTTCTTGGTTACTACTGTCGTAGAGCTCAACAAAGTTAGATCAATCAACGAGTTTCATTCACAGAAACCAGTTAGTTTTGGTGTTTATATATTAATGAATCACAGGGTCAAATATTGCCTTTTTACACAGAACAAATCAAACAAACCACGTGAAGTTTGAAATATTTGGGAAATGTTTTGCTGGTTATGCAGAATATGTTAGTGGTTTGCGCCCAAAATTTTCTTCTTTTCACAAATTAACGGAAGCTTGGCAATTCAAACGTTTCTGAAATATTCCTATCTTCCGGTGGTTTTTATAATTATTATTGGAGCGAGACATTAAATAGAATACATTATACAACTCAATCGCACTGACGAGCAAAGACCATCCTCGATGGTAGGACTTCATGTAACTTAACACAAAATTTCGACCAGTGACGCAATACACSATCTAGAGCATATAGTTCTTTGGTAACAATAGACGTCTGATGCTTTAACGTCATCTACTTGATTTACATTTTGGATCAGTTTATGAAGAAAACAAAAGAAATCTGTCATGTCGTCCCAAACATTTCCTACAATGCATTGCGTATACGGTATATAACGCAAAATCTATAATCTGTCAGAGGTCTATTAATAGCTTTATTATATCCAGGGCTTCAAGTTACTCTKTTGGCAAAAATTAACTTGGCGGACGCTCTGAAATTCAGATGTGACGTCATGACCTGTGCTGAAGAGAGTGGCCTGGGGACGAGATTAAGTAATTTGCACAGTTGAGTTAAGCTTTTCTTTTGATTTCACGTGAGACAAAAAAACGTTTCTTCAGTAAGTAAAATATAGAACATGAACGACTTCCTAATCACCAAGTCTACTTTAGTTACTAACTCTCAATACATAGAAGAAACAGCGTCCTTACCAGCATCTTTACAATGTTACAAGTTGGTGAGCTTCAGAGCATAGTTATGTAAATGCTCAAAGCTACTGTGCTTGTGTACAGTGTAATCAGCTGAGCACCAATGACGGCATTTCCTAGGGATATGATACTAGTGTTAATATAATATTATTTTTGAGAGACTAATATGCAATAGGCCTTTTGTATGAAACGGTCACATTGTACTAAATCTGCCATAATGGATGGCAAAAGAATGTAAACAACCTCAAAAACAAAAGGAACACAGCCCGTAAAACTTGACTTTTCTTTGTTGTGAGCATCCCAGTGGGTATTTTGCCATCAAGCATGTTGGATTTAGTACCAGGTGACCGTTTCATGTAAAAGTCATATTAACTATTTTCAAGCCGCTAGGGACTGGGAAGAGGAAAGGTTAGCCTTGGCTCTAGCGAAGGCCGCATCAAGTCAAAAGCCTAAAGCATGATTTCCGTCTTATTTCGTTGATATTCGCTAATTAGTCTCCCGAACGGTTCCCTTAAGATGGCGCAGGAATACTTTTGGTTTGTGCAATCTGCATCCAATAATTTAGAAAATATCTGTGGACTAGTCTTATTCTCTATTGGAATGATATTCGTTAGTCCATTATCTACCAAGTAGGTACATTATTAGGTATGTTGAAGTACCATATCTCATCATCTGTGATGATATTGTATATATAGTATATATAATACAGCGGGGTTGGTATATTATTTTWATGCATGGAGTAGATATTATAATTAACTGCTGTGTGTACATTTTATACATTGGGTGCTTATGTATATTATAGAATGACAGCTGAGTGGAACAAATAWACTAACAAATAAAACAAGTTTGGTTTTATTATTTGTAAAACGTTTCAAGCTAGTAAGAGACGAAAAATCTGATGGTACAGTGATTAAGGCATTGGCCGGACTTCGGGTCGACAGTCCTGGGTTCGATTCCCAGACTGGCGATCACGTTGTGTTCTTGGACAAGACACTTTACTCACTTTAAGTGCCTTGTCTTCTCGGAAAAGGACGTAAAGCAGGAGGTCTCGTCTCTCTACACTTCTMATTAACAGCAGAGGGAGTTCYCGGTGGTGTGTCCAGGGCTCATCTCACCGGCATTGAGGTCGGCTTGGTGTAGAGGCCTCAGGGGTGGATCCAGGATTTTTCAGAGGGGGTGGCTAACATTAAAATGTAATACTAAGTACGTTACAATCAATAAAAACTTAATAAAAATATTTTTCACTAGCTTAAGATTTTTAATGAAAATGSAGAAAAAAAATCTTAAGCTAGTGAAAAATATTTTTATTCAGTTTTTATTATAACTCTTCTTAGCTGCAATTTTAAAATATTTACGCTATAATTAATTTGGCTCTTTAGGCTCATGTGGAAATTATCGTTATCTCTGGCACA